AGACTGTAGTGTCATTAACTAACATTTCTGAGGGTATATACCACCAATGGGTTTTTTGAGACATTATAAATCATATACCTTATAGAGAAATTGACGGACTTTGCAAGGTTTTTTGTTACCCAACCAAAGAAAGTTGATGTCAAACAGGAACTCAATCATTCTCAGTATGTATTTCATCCTCAGTGTATATCATTTTCGCCTTTGTTCTTTTCCACATAAATGTTTATATCGTCGTTCGCATTTTTGGAAGAGCAAGAGACCACAATAAGAGAACGAAGAAATTTCTTCAATTTGAGGTATGGTAGTGTGTGAACACCCAAATGTTCTGATATAAGAAATTATTTGATGGAAGAGTGCTCAAGAATGAACAAAAGATCTTTGCGTTCTTCAGTTTAATGAAAACCTTTTGTAGATAAACTCATTTTTTTATATTTTATTTTTTATATGGAAACATGTGCTTACTTACATCTTTTCCAACGAGGTTCATTAGCGATATCAGATCAGGCATGTACAGACCATAAGACACAAATATACAACAGTCAATGAAAACTCTGAAACACATTAAAGCGAGAATAATGTCAGCAATGCGGTACCATATCGTTAAGAACTCAACTAAAACATGGAAAATGGCAATAAATGATAACATACACAGATATGAAATGTACTTCCCTGGGAGGCTTTTGCATTACCTTCCGCATTTTTGAAGGGATTATTATAATAAAAAACACTATTTTTAGAAAATATGCAACAAAACTTTCACTTTCTATTATTACACTAAATAAAAGTGTCTTCCAGCATAGTTAAGAATTGCTGATAATTATCACAATTTAATTCAACGACCCGTTGTTAACTCATACATTAACGCCTGTAAATAAAGAACTGAGCATGAGTGTGTCATAGAAAGACAATTTACTTGGCGAGCTAGAGTCTTTCGTGATGGCCGAGTTACTAAACAGGGAGATTAAAGATAGTATACTGACAACAGGTGGACCAGTTAAGGCTCTAGGAAATAGAATTCAGTTAGAAGTATAGAGAAATACAAAGATCCCAAATATTCGAATTGTTGCAGCAGATTCATGTCGATCGCATTTTCGTCCCCAATTAGAGGACACACGTGCCGTGGGCAACAGCAGGTGTATTATTTTCGCCATCCCCGACCTCAGGGGTGGCGGAAGAGAATAAATTAATAGAAAAAAGAAAGAAAGAAGTGCCTGTTTACAATTTAGTTTGTGGATGCAAATTAAACTCAGCAAATACTTTACTGCATCACATGGTCATTTCGACAATTAGAGACTTGTCAAAGGCACTAAAGCTAAAAATAATAGAAGGCCATTCCTTAACTATTCTGAAACGTATTTTTAACATACAGTAAAACAGAAAGGAGCGTATATAGACTCTTTAAAAAGTTACAGTTAACAACGCTTTGCTATAACGGAAACTATATGATAAAAATAGTATTTCAGGTCAACCGTGCAAAGGTGAATTCCAGATACAAGGTTACGGCAAAGCCTCGTGGACTGATATTCCACTAGCAGAGTCACCACCTTTTCTAAAAGATCAGGGAAAACGGAGAGTGAAAAAAGCCTTAATTCTAACTTAAAATCGATAAAGCTATGGCAGGTAATAAACGAAGGAAATATGTACATGAAAGATGTACAATGAGTGCGAGACTACATGTTCCAGAAGGGTACGCGTTTTCTCCTTCATCGAAAACACCCGCCATGTTAATCTAGTTCAATCCAAGTAATGTTACGTCCTCAAATGAAGACCCGAGATAGTGCCAACGATAAAACTGTTGAAAACGACAAATATACTGAAATGGTCTGAAGTGGAACTCTTTATTGCCTTTATAAACATCCAGTTTTCTCGTTAATTAAATACCAATAAGTTCTAACTCATTTCACGGATAAAATGCTCTATAATTGACAGACTTTCACTTGGTTATAATTGGATGAGACATACATATTTTTCCGTATTTCCATACCGTTGTCAAATAACTTTAGATATGATGACTTATGCTATCTATACTACGCGCTTATCTCCATGATCATTTCACAAAAATGTTATTTGCAATTCAACTTAATGTGGGTTCAAGTGCAACAAATAGAGCGGACCGCAGAGAGGAGGTTGTAGTCTCGCGACTGCGCATAGGCCATACCTACATCGCACATGGTTACATTTTGCGTAGGGAAAACCAGCCTTATTGTCATATGTGCGATCAGTCATTTACAGTCAAACACTTTATGATTGAATGCGCTGATTTCAAACAAATACGTGACAGATTTTATGATGTACCGTCTATGAAAAGATTCTTCGATACAGTTTCTGTGCAATTAATATGTGACTATTTACACTTTATTGATCTTTACAATAAAATATGATATATTGTGCAGCCAATTTGTTCGATACTGAAGTATTTCTTTAATCCGTTACATATTTTAAGCTATTAAGTTTTGGTTTGATGTGTTTATTTCGTGAATGCCTTTTTTACAGTATTGTTGGCCCTAAAGGACTCACATTGTCGATGGGCCGTTAAACAATACAAAAACAAAACAAACAAACATTTCACAAAATAATTTCCCCCCATGCATTGAAGGTATTCAATCTTAGAATGAAGTATAAACATTGGCACTGACCTTAATTTTCCGGCGTGATGTTGTACACAAAGAGGTCCTACTTTCATACTCATCTCCAACACACTTCCTATATTTCCAACCTTCTGACCAGTTCTGTGAAAATGCACTTACATCAAATGGCAACGAAATCATATGGCACATAGTAAAGCATATATGAAATGCATATATTCATATCTCAAAATGAATAAGTACATTGCCATTAGGATCAGGTTGTATCCGTAAAATTTGACCATAATCTTCATCGACTTACATCTCTCGATGTTGTAAGTTGCTCATTCGACATCTATCACGGATTTCGGGATATTGAGAGGAAGCCTGTGAAGCCTCTGTATTAAAAACTTCTATTTATAAACACAGTAAACAGTAAAAGCAATGATGTTATTATGTGATGATGTTTACACTACATAGCTAATAAATGAACTTTAAAAAGAACAGTAAGGTCTTAAATGTTAAAACAACAATACCTTTCAGTTAGACGCTGGGTACATCCTGTTAATATCAAAGCTCCTAATTCGGCCAAAATTCCATAGAAGAGAAGTCCGCCACTACCACCCTAGAATGATTATAACAATGATAACAAGCCCGCCACTACCACTCTAGAATGATTATAACAATGATAACAAGCCCGCCACT